AAGAGAACATATGTGGTATGATAAAGAGTATGTGAAACATCGTGTCCAATAAATCTGACCTACAACGTCCACAGGACAAGAGGAGAAGGAAATAAGTCTTAAGGGATAAGTGAAAAATCAAACATGATGTAGGCAAAGTAAGGCAGTGAAGAACCACATTGACATCCCAATTCAGAAAGACTGCACGCCAAGGAGGATGATGAATCTAGAAGGAACACAACAATAGGTACTGGAAAACAAAATTGTGGGATAAGACAGCCCAATAACTTACAATTGAGGAGACCAAAGACCATAATCAAACAACTAAGTGAGGAAATCTGCAAAAAGAGGAACAGTTGGTTGAGCAGGTGAAAACTCCCAACCCAAAGATCAATGGCAGAAAACATTCCACTTACATTGATAGACATCCATAGAGGAAGGGCGAATATAAAGACCTAAAAACGAAGCGACTCATTGGGACAATCCAGATCTCCTCGCCAAGGACCAGTTGAAAACCAGGTTGAAAACAGAGGATATGAAGGACTGGATGAAATGCCAGTGACCAGGGTTGGCATAGAAGGGATGGATGTAAGAGGAAGAGGTAATAGTTGGGCATATTGGAGCTAGAGCAGATGCAGAAACCACGGTTGTGCTGGCCAGTAAGGAGCAATCAGAAGGACCAGACACAGAGTTGCATGAATACTCAAAATCACCCTGATAAGAAGATGGATGGAAGTTTAAACATAAAGGTATTTGTTGGTCCACTCCTGACTGAATGCACTGACAGCTAGTGCAAGTTGGTGAGGTATTGGTGGGTGTGGCAAACACATTCAGGTGAGGAGTACCCCCAAAGGCATGGCCACTGGAAAACAAGAGGATTGAGAAACAACTCCATCAGATAAACTTTGATAGGGTGGAAAAGACGATCCACGACAAGATTGAATGCACACAGAACATGGAACACAAGGCGATGAATACCAGATATGGGCCCAAAAATGGAGATCCAAGTTTCCACCACAAAGGAGAACAGGTGCTACCTTGGTGATTTATATAAGCCACCACAGTAGAATTGTCAGAATTGATCATGATTAGACGATTCCTGGCAAGATGAAAAAATAATCCAAAGCACAACATAAAGCCAGAAGCTCCAGGATGTTCATGTGGTATGATCTTTCGGTTGGAGACCACCAACCTAAAGCTTCCTGCTGATTGACCCACACCCTCAGCCCTGTAGGGAAGTGTTTGTTTGTTTTGAATTTCATGCAAAGCTACACGAGGACCATCCCTAATTTAGCAGTGTAAGACTAGAGGGTAGGCAGCTAGTCATCACCACCCACCGCCAACTATTGGGCTACTCTTTTACCAACGAATAGTGGGATTGATTGTCACATTATAATGCTCCCATGGCTAAAAGGGTGAGCATGTTTGGTGTGACGGGGATTCGAACTCGTAATCCTCAGATTGTGAGTCGAGCACCCTAGCCATCTGGCCATGCTGGGCCGTAGGGAAGTGTCCATGAAAATATGCAAATATGGACAGGGGGAAAAGAACACTTGCCAATGTGTTAGTCTTGTCCAACCACCAATACAAATTGCCTACAAGGGAAGGAGGATGAGAAATAAAGGCCTCTAATGGATTCTGTGCAAGATTCCACTGGTCATGCAGAGCCCACTGAAGATACCTCATATGTGCCCAAGCCAAAGGGATAAGGGCTTCCATAGAACACCACATCTCCAAGAGTGATAGAAACTCATGAGCAGTAAGGGCTTGGAGAACTGAAAGAATTGAATGGAGTTGAAGAGAAGGTTGAGTCTGACTGAGATGAGTGTTGAACAAAACGCCAAGTGGACAAGATATTGGGTAAGTATAAGGATGACATGACCAGGTGTTTAGAACACTCAACTCGCAATCTGAGGGTCGCGGGTTCGAATCCCCATCCCACTAAACATGCTGGCCCTTACAGCTATGGAGCATTATAAAATGACAGCCAATCCCAATCTTCATGTAGCTTTGCACGAAAATTCAAAAAAGAAACAAACAGGTATAAGGAATGACTTCTCCAACATGATTAACCTACCCACATGAGCTGCCTCCAGAAACAGCAGATGAGTGTGATGGTCAGGCTTCTGTTCTAAACAAGCTAATAGAAGCCAAGTCATCCATGTAATAGTGAAAGAGCAACCCCCCCCCCCCCGAGCATGCATATGTCAGGCAAAAGCCTTGACCACTCAACAAAAAACATATAGAGCCAAAGCAAGCCTGAAGTTCAGGGCATGAAATTGATAAACTACCCTGTGATGAACAAACCAAAGTTAGTGCCTTGCAGATGATGTAGCTATCTGGAAGAGCTCACCAATCACGGCCACAAATCTACAACCACCATTAAATTCCATTGTTGAATACTGCTCAAAGAAAAGAATATAAATGAATATATCAAAAACACAAATTCTTGTACTTGTGCAACTAAAGACTACTGAAAATTACCCCAAAATTATACTTCCAAGGAACACTCCTCCAGACAGCTACTTTAGGAAGATATAATACTAAATTCAATTGGCAAAAACACGTAACAGAAATTTCTAACAAAATCTAGCAATGAGTAAACCAGTTAGAGGTCTGTTGGGGAATAATACAGGCACAACACCAAATAACATATTCGATTGTTTGTTTGAAGTTAAGCACAAAGCAACACAATGGGCTATCTGTGCTCTGCCCATCACGGGTATCGAAACCAGAATTCTAGCATTGTAAGTCCGCAGGCATACCGCAGTGCCACGGCGGGGGGCAAATAACATATTAAAGATATACATTCAGTACAAAATGCAGTTCATACAAGCATATACAAAGTCCCGAGATCAACAAATTCACAATTTTTACACAAATGTGCAAAAATCCAACCACTCCACGACAGACTTTTAAGAAGGTCATTCGAATATTTTAAGAAAAAATGAAATGTTATGAGCATTAGATCGCTATGTCATACATGATGGAAATGAGTCTAAGTACCTCTCACCTATTAACATGTACTATAGGTTTAGTAATTAGGCACCTATTGCTAGACTTACATAATATATTATTTTGTGGTTTATAAGATAGTGTATCAAATAGGGTATTTATGTGAATACATAGAGTGTAAACTACCAAATGAAACAACATTGGTATATATGGACTATAAAAGCAAGTGTATCCCAATGGAAATTATGAATGTCGCACCTAAATGGACTTGGCTCTGATAGGGGTATTGAATATCATATTATAACATCTGTGTATTCAACGCTCTTGTTTATGTTAGAGTTTAACATTCAAACAGTGCATCTATCACATCAGTGCAGAGGGAGGAAGAGGTCAAGTTTGCATCTGACCCTTCTAGGTCCATATGTATATAAATCCAGATGAAGCAAAAAGTGATAATGATAGTATCTGTGTAGACACCATGCTATAGTGTAAATATATTTCTGTACTGCACGCTATAGTACCACCATCTAAAGCATATTAGAACTACTGACTAAATACATGCGCACCACAGAAATTAATTTAATTTATATATGTCTAAACGATATTCATCATGAGATGATTTTAATTGTTGAAAATATATCCTATTGTCAATAATACATTAATATTAATGAAATATTGATACTGACAAAGTAAATTATACAGATACGAGACTCTGTTTTGCACTTATTGATTTCCTTGCAAGATGGTTTCAAAATTTCAAATATTATGACTGATCAACTACAGACCCTATAATATGCATTAAGCTTGTTATTTGAAGGTCTGTTAAGCATTTTACTTGCCAACTTGCATGCAAAATTATTTTTATATGAAAACTATTGACAATCTAATAATCTTGTATCTGAAATACCAAACTAGAGATAGCTGATCAGTCATATTATTGCTGGCAATATTTGCCAAATATCAGCAAATGTTTACCAGTGAAATTCATCAATTAAATTACCAGGTACAACAAGTCCATTAATCTTAACATAATACACTGTACAACTTGTAAGCCTACAAGTTTCACACAATACTAATTCTTATAGCAATTGTAGCTGAAAATTTTACAATTTTTGTGGGAAAAGAATGTTCCTTTGTCAGGTAGGCATATAATAAATATGAATATCAGCAAAACTAAACTACCATTAGTACAAAATGATAATGTGATCAAATTGATATTTATATGAGCAAAATTATACATTATTATAGTCTTCTTCTTACGGATCCATTTCCCAAGAATTGCTCATTATTATTCAACTGAGCACTTTGAATAGCATATGTTGATTCAATATTTCTAGTGACCTTGCAGACTCCTGATACTTTCTCATTTTAGAATATTTCTACTTTTGGCATTCACTGGTTTCTTCCTTCTTTTCCAACATTATTTACTGTTTTACTGTATGAAATCTAAAGTCTGTGTCAGCTTTAAGCAATAGGCCCAGGATTTACTCATACTATGCAATCATTTTATGATTTTTCTCAGATTTTGATACAAAACATAAAGCTATGAGGTAATAGCCAGGAAAGAAATATGGTGCTGTAACTTGTATGTACACCTACACAGCATGCAGTCATGTTCAGCCATGCATGGACATATCTGCACAAGTATCTAGCCCTATACATAGAAAGTTACTGGAAATTCCTGTCTATTGCATACGCAATAGACAGAGATTTAAATTGCATTTAAAACACCTCCCTCAAGAGACTATGAATATGTTTTACATTTACCTGTATATTATAGGTTTAAATGTATTTGTTTATTATAGTGTTCTACATCAATTTGGCCATTTGAGATAGATAAAGGACACTGGTTTTAATTTATGAAGACAAGTTTAAATGTTATTAAGTGGTAAACTACCAAATTTGAGGGGGAACAACTGCTAGAGTTCTATCGGAGGCCACTGGGATTTTGCCAGGTTCCCCTGCAGTCTAGTCCATCACTGATTATGTCGTCAGAGAGAAATAAAATAGAAACAACAATTAATAACTTCATTGTACTTTTTTGCTAATGTCAATGCTGCACTTACCCATGTCCCCAAGGAGGAATGAAATAGAGACAACAATGAACCCTATTGTCCACTATATTTTTTCTGTTTAGTCCACTCTCATCTTTGAAGAACTGGTTAAACTGATCAGTAATATAATTTTCTATCACCATCCAACTGTATTATAAACATAGAGGAATAAATAGGTATAAAATGACAGTTTCAAATATAACTGTTCAGAATATTTTTCTGCTAAAAATCATAAAAACAATTATTTAATAATGCAAGTCCAAGAAAAATATAAAACATTTTTAATTCTAATAAAATGTGCAACTGTTAATCATAATCCAAATGAAAAACGTTCATGTTTTTAAACAACTCTTGGATACAGTTTCTGTTGCAAACACTTTTGAGAAACTCATTCATTTTCAAAAAAACAAAACAAACTGGATGTTAGTTTTTCAACAAGTATTCATATAAATAATGACAAAATTATCACTAAAAATATACAAAATATATCATTTCCTCGACTTATACACTTCTTACTGGAACCCTGTATTGGGTCAGTAATGAATGATGTGAATTGAAGTATTCAAGTATCATTGTAATATTATATTAAGTATGTATTACTCCTAATTTCAGTTTTAAAGTAGTGATGCATTCTTTATAAAAATATTGAATTTTGCAGAAAAAAAGTATCTTCATGTTTAAAACCTTATCATAAGAAAAAAATGTTTCATATCCAGTTTTGGCTGTGTGGGTGTAACTTTCTAATAATTTTTGCCATATATTTTCATATATAATAATGTAGTTAACCTACTTTTCTTCACAATTGACAGCATCCCCAAACCCAGGTGTGTCCACTATTGTGAGTTTCAGTTTGACTCCTTTTTCCTCAATCTCCATGGTCTTTTTTTCTACATCAACTGTTCTGTCTAATTTTTCTAAAAATTATTAAAATAGCAATAAAATCACAGTAAGTTCTTATCATGAAAATATTAAGTTCCTTTAATAACTTATTATTTACATAAAAGATTAAAACTCAAACTGGTGGCTTTGAAAAATAAGTAAGATCATAACTAAACAATGCATTGAACTTATAGTCAAGCCAAACTGTATGTAGCAAGCAGAAGAGGAAATATGTTTGACCAATGATGACTAAATTTGAAAGATATATTTTAGAGTGGAATTTAAGCTAAAATAAATGAAATGCTTTATAAACATAAATACTTCATTGGAGCACGTCCCTTATACTTGGGTCCCCTTTTAGCACAACATGTACTGCAGGTCCTGCACCATTCTTCCACATCTTGCCTTATTCCTATCCAGTAAAATCTCTGTCGTAGGTGACTCATCTTTTTAACTCCGAGATGTCCTCCTGTTAAACTATCAGTATAACTGTTTGCCAGGTCGTCACATTCCCATGTGCAGTTTCCTATCTCTGGACAAGAATACCATCTTCAAGCTTCAACTGGTCCCATTGTGCCCAATAGTTCTTTGTCACAGGGCTTAAGCTAGACACCTTCTTCCAAGCAGGGCACAAAACACTTGCTTTTAGAAAATCAATTATTGGCTTCAAATCTTGGTCTTTCTCTTGCTCTGATTTAATATGTATACCTGGTTCCACTTCACCATCATCAACTCCTTCAGTCACTTTGACTTCAGCTTGATGACACCTGGTTAGTTCAAATAGATTCTGCATCTAAACAAACCCTTGTGAGCATCAAGGTGCTGGATCACAAAGGAGTACCAGAAGCAATACAGAAGCTCTGTGGTGTGACAGGACATTATGCAAGGTTGTGAGGACCAGTGTGGGTAACTATTCAGCTCATGGGCTTAAAGGACAGACACAAAGTATACTTGGCTGACATTGAAGACCAATGTATACTAGGGTTGGACTACTTTACTTCCGAGAAAGTGTGTAATTAATTTTGATAAAATGACGTTTGGGAACAACAAGGGCCAAATTCCGGCAAGTGTTAAAAGAGAGAAACAAAGTTGCACTTTTGGCCATCCAGCTTCCCTATCACATAGACACTATGTTTGCTTGCCATTTTACATTTAGCTGTTGGGACTTTCACGATGGGGGTTGAGGGGCATCCCTCAACACCAACCACTACTTGTTTCCCTGAGACTGACTTATTGATAGTATTCTTCTTACACTAGCTCTTCATATGTCCTTGCTCTCCACAGTTCCAACAACCTTTCTGGGTTGCCAGGTACACTGCCTTCTGCTCTCCTGTCCATTCATTCATTTCTTCCAGTAACTCAAATTGTGCTCTATATGCTTCCCATCGAATTCCTGTGGCTTCCTTCGTACTAGATCA